TATGTATATTATGTTTTCTTATGTATCTGTAGTATATATATTATGTTTCTCTAGTATTCTATGTTTAGTATTTTTCTAGATTACGCTTAAAAGATATTTCAAAAATGATTCTGTTTTGTTTTGTTTGTCATAATTCAAGTAATATGTGTTCCTTAAACTGATTTCAAAAAAAAATTTGTTACTTTTTTTATAATTTAAAAGTTGATTAAAATAACTCAAATTTCATATTTCAAAACTTGATAACTCTAAATTAACACTTCGGATTTTTATAAATCAAATTTTGTAATCCAAAACCTAATGACTTAAATTTCATATTACAGAACATTATCAACTCAAACTTCATACCTCAGGACTTGTTAACTCAAACTTTATACATTAGGACTTGATCACTCAAATACCCTACTTTTTAACACAATACAATTTCACAATACAATTTGTGAAGAAATGTCGAGCATTATTGCATGTGAAATCACACGTTAATTTGTTGGATGGTGATCTGCAAAGTGGTGGATTATGCCAATTAATAATATCAAAACCGTTTTTAAATTATTAAACTGCAAGTTAAAGTCGCGCATTGCCTGCAAGTTTCCATAGAAGTAAAATTGAGACGCCGACACCTTTCAGCATAAGGTAAACTTGAGGAATTTTTGTTGCTTTGTGACAATGTTTAAATCATTTTGAAGAATTAGACAAGACAGAAACTCAGGTCTTATTTCTTGCAACAGTTTAGTGTCATCAACATAAATTTTATGAACTGATTTTAAATTATCCTTAAAGTCAATTATGTAGATGATGAATAATGTTGGACCAAGTACAGATCCTTGTAAAATTCGCTTAAATTATCGGTCCAGTCGCTAGAGTAATTACCTAAAACAGTTTGTTGTTTTCTGCTAGTGAAAAATGACTTAATCCATTTGCCAATATTACCATTGATTCCATATGCTTTTAATTTATGTTGTAGTCTTCGATGAAAAACTCTATCAAACACTTTTGCAAAGTTTAAAAATGCAATATCGACAAATTTGCAATATCGACAAAATGTGATAACTTTTTTTTTATTAAAGATAAATATAACATAGCGAGTATTACGCATTTAACAATAAATGCTTATAACACCAATGGTTTATCAGAATCAGTGTATTTTAAAATGTTTTAAGCAAATTTACCCTGTTAAAAAACACTGAACTCTATATAGTAGGAATTTATTATACAAATATACTTTGGTTGTAAATTCGAAAAAACCTTGTTTTATGTTTAATTCAAATTGATTAACTGTACGAAGTGTTATTGCCTACCAACTTAAGATTATATCAAATTTATGGCTTTAAAATGTTTGCAAAAGTGAATAAAATATAACTTCTTTCGCACTTAGTAATACATTATAAATCAATATTAGAGAATTATAGTTATAAAATTATAAACTGAACCAAATTACACCAGATTGGAGTAAAATAAAGCTTTTTTTTTTTTTTTTTTGAGACCCTGGAAGTGCTTAAAGCATTTTTTTATTACACCAAATGTCACTTATAATAATTATAATAATTACCTAAAGTCATACTCTGCAAAACAACACTTTAATATTTAGAAAGAAATGTGTTGATAGAACTGCAGAGCTTAAAGAGTAAGAATTAAAGCAATTAGCCTTGTGATTTGTGTTGATAGTTTTTGCTATTTACTGATTTTTAGGATTTTGCTGTTACTTATCGTTTGTCGATATAAAAATAAGTAAACAAATTAAAAAAAAAATTAACTTATTAATTATAAAATAATTATAAAATTAACTTAATAATTATAAAATAATTATAAAAACAAATAATTGAAAAAACATATACCTTTTGTTTTAACTAAGCTGCTAAATAGACCATTTCCCATTTTTTTGTAGAAACCTTTAATAAATCATATAATAAACTTGTAAAAAGATAAAAAAATATGTTAATACCAAGTAAATATCTTTATAAAAAAATATATAAATTTAATATATACAGACCCATAAGGTGAAAAAGGCCCATAGTAAAGTAAAAAGTAGTTTAACTATTTTTAATGGCTTTTAATATTGCTATTTTACTTACTTTTAAAATATGTTGTTCGATGAACATAATAATCTAATAAATAAAAACTGTTCGATGTACATAATAATCTGTTAACTAAGTATTATCTATAGTAATACATTAAAAACTTTATTTTTATGGTTAACTATTCACTGAGATTTTATTTATTAGCATTAAATGCTGATTAGGGATTGCAGAATAATACAACCTAAGTTGAAAATAAAATATACAAAAAAAAAATGATTTTTAGAAAATTAACTTTTTTTAAAAAGTACTTTCATACACAAATTTATGTCTCACAAAATTATTTACACCATAAGTCATTTTATTTTAAGCGATTACTGTAAAATTCAAAATCTCCTTTTATTGAGCTATAAACAATCAAACTAAAATAACTTACAGCAATTCTTCCTTAATTTAGTTATATTAACATAAAATATAAATATAGCAAACTAAAATTTAAATAATTATAAGTTCATTATGAGAAAATCCATAAACTTTAACAACCTTACTTGTGTTTTAGTTAGACCCCTTACCCATGGTAGTAATCTAGATTCCCTACCCTACTCATGGTTGTAAATTTAACAAATTTGTTGAGATTTAACAAATTTTTAATGTTATAAACATTTCAAAACTGTCATTCTACTGATGATAACTAAAAATAACAGAAATGCTCTTCTCTGCATTAGATGGAATGGGTGGAGTGAGATTTAATTGCTTTCTTGATAAAAAAAAAACTTGTAACAGAGCCTAGCAAACTTGACCATAATCTTTTTCTTACATTTTTAGATTTTTTGTGTCAAATTTAAGTTTTAAAACTTATAAGTCTTTATTCTCTTACTGCTCTAAATTAGTTTTACTTGCTAATGATACTATGATACAATCTAAATGTATAGTTGCATCAATAAAAATCCAGTCTTCATATAAAACCATAACTTATTAATTAGCTAGCCTGAATACAACAGGTAGCAACAGCTTATAATGAATGTCCTCTTTAAGTTTACTTTTTTTTTTCTTGTTCTCTGTTTTTTTCACTCCTATTTCAAATTCCATTATGTTCTTTCTTTTTAAAAAACCTTATTCAAAAAAAAAAGTGCATAAACATATTTAAAAATAAGGTGAACTTGATTGCATTGAAGTTTGATAAAGGACAAATCTTCTTTTTGCAAAAATTCTAAATAAAATAATTTACTTTATAGTATAATAACAAGAGTCACTTGATCTGAAACTAAATTTTTTAAAATTTGATAGACATAAATATACTTTATATTTAAAATCACTAAAATAATAAATTATAAATTTTATAAAAACGAAAAAATCAGAAAATTAAATAGTAAAAGTATTCTCTAAAAATATATTTTATTTCGATTTTTATTTTCAAATTAAAATTTTTATGATTTAAATGTGCTAATTCTAAACTTTTAACTTCTTTTAACAAATTTATATTTGCTAATTTGATGCTTCTCTAGTATTCTATTCTGTAAGATTTTTTTAACTTATGTTTCTTAAGTACTTTTATCTCTAGTATTTATCTTATGTACCTGTAGTTTCTTCTCTAAATTTGTTTAGTATTTTTCTAGATTACGCTTAAAAGATATTTCATAAATTATTTCATTTTTTTTTGTTTGTCATAATACAAGAAATATGTGTTCATTAAACTGATTTCAAAAAAATATTTTGTTACTTTTTTTATAATTTGAAAGTTGATTAATATAACTCAAATTTCATATTTCAGAACTTGATAACTCTAACTTCACACTTCGGATTTTGATAACTCAAATTTTGTAATCCCAAACTTAATGACTTAAATTTCATATTACAGAACATTATAACTCAAATTAACTCAAATTTCATACCTCAGGACTTGATAACTCAAACTTTATACATTAAGACTTGATCACTCAATTACCCTACTTTTTAACCCTGACTTTAGAACGATTTTTTTTTTCTGCTTTTTATGTATATTTTTATTTAAAAAGAATCAATGCTGTTCAATAATCAGATTATAAGTCAACACTATAATTTACCAACCAACAGAGATTGATCATAAAATGATATTCAATGGATGTCTTTTAATGTTAATGTTACAAAAATATAATTGTGATCTACTAAACAGTAAAAATTAAACAATGGAATCAAATACTCATAAACAACTTATTAAATATTAAATGCAATAACAAAAACTAATTTTAAATTAAAAAATTGGATAACTATAGTAACTACTTGACTAATAAAATTTATTTTAAAAGTAAAAAATTTCAAAATAAAGGTAACAATGAATTTCTTTAATATATCTTAAACAATAATAATTAAAATCTTTTACACACAAACAAAAAGATCTTTGTCACATTTTAAACAAACAAAAGATTGTTATCAACTTATCAAGATTAGATAAATTAAAATCAAAGAAATATAAATTTCTATAAAGCTGTTTGAAATCAAAGAAATATAAATTTCTTTAAAGCTGTTTGAGTTATTTTAAATCTGCTGAATAAAATTTTGGAATTGTGTCAAGCAAAGATTAAGTAAAGATTATACTAGAAAATAACAAGCACACATTAACATTCATATCAAATTACTTTGTAATATGATATGAAGATGAATAAATGCTTGTTATTTTTTAGCTGTGTTGAATGTAATATTTCATTTAATAAATAGAATAATTTAAAAAAAGAAAAAATGAGATATAAAATATTATATAAATGATATAAATGTATTCATACTCAATATGATTACATTTATTGAGTATAAACAAAATAACAAATAGGATGAAAATACATTCATATTCGTTTTTTTACATTACATTCATTATCCCATAATGAATGTAATGTAAAAATACGAATATGAATGTAATTTTATCTTGTTTTTTATTTTGTTTATACTCAGTAAATGTAATCATATTGAGTATAAATGTAATCATATTGAATCATAATTTATGCTTTTTTTCATTCACATTAAACTGGTTCTCTAATGGACCACACAAACTAATGATCAATTTCTTTTTTTAGTCTAACATTAGCAAAATATTTGAAAAGTCCTGGTTATATACAATTCAACAATAAAAGAAAAGGTTAAACTGACAGAAGAAGTTTAAAAAAACTACAGTTAGAAAGCTGTCACTGCACTTTGATGGTATTACTCAAAAAGACTATCAAGTGTTGAAGGTTTAACAAAGAGAAGATAAGTTACAAGAACTAGATCTACCAGATGGAATAGCAGATATTGTTTTTAAAAGTATTCTATTCTATTCTTGATAAATACAATTATTTTTTTTATAAATAGTATGTAATTTTTAATTTTTTAATCTGTTTTTAAAGTTACTTAAGCCTAATTTTTTAATGTTTTACTTAATGAAACATATTCTGTTTTGTAGGTGATGCATTGATTCTTGACAGGCTGTTAATTTTATAGATGCTAAAGATGACCTTGTTTTCGATATGACTAAGGTGTTTTTTACTTTTTATTGGTTTTAAATAATTTTATGTTAGAATAACAGTTAGTCTAACATAAAATTATTATTTTAAAATTTATTATAATTTTCATACATAAATTTATTATAATTTTCAAATTGTTATAGACTAACAGTGGAGTTAAAGTTAGAAAGGGAAAAATACTCAACTACATTAACAAATCGAAGGAGTAATTAAATGTTTTTAGTTAAATATGTATATTTTTATAAACTTTTTTTGTTAAATTTTATTTGTAAAAAAATACCAATTTTGTTTCTTTTTTTTTTGAATATCAAGATATATTTATAAAAAAATTTTGTTGAAAAAGGTGTACATTCTGCTTCTACACTAAACACCGTCAAAATATCAGTCAGCAGAACATGTAAAATATTAAAATAATTTGCTGCTGTGACGGTGTTTATGATTTTCCATGTCAGAATCATATTATATTGTCAGTTTAGTTTTTGTGACGACTTTAAATTGTGTTTAATAATTTTTATAATAATCAAAAATAATCACTAAATTAGGGGGTGTATCTAATAAATACTTACAATAAATTTGTGAAAGAATTTTTTGACAGCATATGTTTTTTATTGATGTCTTCTTATTTGTTCATAAATTTTTACATTAATTTTTTTGATCTTACTCATAAAAAAATATAAACATTTTACTGTATTATTTTCTTTTTTATAGAAAAAAATTTTTTACATGCAAACTTTAATTTTCTTTAAAACTAATGGGACAATAGTCCTTATAAGCTGCACATGGTCTGAAAAAAAATTAATGAAACTTTATAAAGCAAAAAATAATAAGGTTCATCCCCGATTGAATGAACAAGCCCAAAAGTTGAGAAAATTCTTTCAATTTAAGCACTAGCTGAAATTGAAATTGAAGCTGGTGCATTTAACAAAACTTTAATATCCATGATAATGTTGCAGTACAAAGTTTTTATCTCCACCATTCTATTGGTGAAACATTATTTAAAACAGATAAAACATATTTTTTTTCAGTTGATAAAAATGAACATCAACAGCGCCCCTTATTTTTGTTTGATCTTTTGCAACTTATCATGAGCAAATACAAATAGTTTTAATATTTTTAACAAAAAATTATTTGGTTTAAATTGATATTTTTTTGATTGGTTTAAACTGTTTGGTTTAAACCTAGCAACCCTGCAACACACATTTCTTCATCATAACTTTAATTGGAAAGTTTATATAATTTGAATTATATAAACTTGCTAAATATAATGATTTTTATAGCAAGGGTGATTAAATAATGATGCATAAAAATCATATCCAATTAAATAAATTAAATCAAAAAATATTAAAAAAAAACAATACCTTATAGTTTATTATTAAACTTTGGAGGAGGCCTGGATTTAGCCTGCTTAACAAATATTTAGGTAACACCAGTTACAAGTTACAATAATAAACTAAACAAAATAGCATCAAACAAGTTCCTTTTTGATCAAACTTTTGAAGAACTTGCAGTTTGTGCTGACAATGTTAATTAGATAATCAATTCCAGTTAGTATTAATTTTAGCATTAACTTGTGAAAAAAAAATTGAACTTCATTCAGATCTTTCTGTTACTTTTGTTTGTAATTGATTACGCCTACTTGGTAATTTTTTGCATTAGTTTTTAACTTTTTTTTAACATACTAACTTTTGGCAACTACATAATTTACAAATTTGTATATATAAATCAAACCATCATGGCCTTTTTAGTATTTTAATGCATGTTAAATCACTCAGATAAGGCAAAAGGTGATAAACTCAATTACTTAATTTGGTGTCACTAGCCTAATAAAACAACTATATCCAAAAACTAAAACTTTTCCTGCTGCATACTTGACTGGAACCTTTGACTTATTACCTACTAGATATGCGACCTTTACATTTGCCGTTAGAATTTAACAAATTTTCAATGTCTTTTTCTTCATCTCAGTAATAACTTGTGTAACAACAATGTTAACAATTTCATATTATATCAATCTCAAATTTAACAATTTCATATTATATCAATCTCATGATTATATCATGATTTGTTATACTTATGCTGCTCAAAAAAAAATCGCACACTGTTTTCAATTGAACAAAAGTAATTTTATTTAACACATAATATTTTTGTTTAAAGCATAAGCCTTTAGTTTGACAACCATTTGTTTGTGAGGAATAGTGATGAGTTTACTTACTTAGAGTAAAGTTACTTAGAGTAAAGATATTTTGATTTGCACTTTTTAGGTTTTGGCTGTTAAAATAACATCAGAAATCACTATGTCTCATAAGGTGATTAAGTAACAAAAACTTGCAAGTTTTTTTTATAATCTTATTTATATATTGGTGATATATGGATATTAAGGTAAAATGAAACATTTATTTTTTTATTAGTCTATTTAAGCTAGCAATAAGCCTTAGCCTTAGACATTGAAGTTATTTTAATTACTACACTTATTTTTCATTTATGTTTTGATTTTTTTTTTTTTTGATTTTTCTCATTTTTCTTAAGAGAAAGAATATTTACTTTTATTTTTTACAACTCACTTATTTTTAAGTGAGTTATAATTAATAAAACTATATACTTTTAAATATAAAGTTTTTATACAAACTAAAATTAGAAGTGTGGATGTAATGTCATACTTGGCATATTTTAAGCTGGCATATTTTAAGTTTAATGCACTTCCTTACAAAATGGTTATCAAACAGAACTTTAACAATTGTTATAAGTCTTGCTGAAATTAAATATTTTTAATACACTTGTTCTTATTGTCTTCAAGAATATTCGATGATTTTTTTTTTTTTAATTTAATACGAGTCTTGACATTATATGAAACTTTTGTTTTTAAGAAAAAAGTGTTCAACCTAATGCAATAAAATGTTGTCAAACACTTGAAAAAACCTTAAATTACAGAATATTAATTTAGTTTAATAGAAAAACTGAAAGTCGATTAAAAAGTGGACTTAAAGCTATTCTTTACCTTATCTATACTTATGTTAAGGTTTAATTATAATACTTCAATATTATTTAGGGTATAAAAGTTTATAGAGTTATATATTACTAACAATAACATAATAAAATTTGCTTTAATAACAGAGCTTATATATAAGCTCTGTTATTAAAGCAAATTTTAATATTTTATTGTTAAAATAATATTATTATTGCGCAAATAAATTTAAATTGTTTATCTAAAACTTACAACTTTCCAAAATTCACAATGTTTCAATATTAAAAGCAAGCACACTTGATAACTTAACTTTCTTTTGATGCCAATTGGAATAGAAAATCATTAAAAAGTAGTCTATTACACAATCGCAATTATTATTGGACGTTAAAATAATACCACACACCCATTTATTGAGTTAGCATTTTTTAAGATAATCCAAAGTAATAGTTTGATTTTTTTAATAAAACACAGACATGATTTCGTTATCTTTTTAGACTAGTTATTTATTTAAAAACTTTTTTCCGGTATGCGTTTTATTAAAAAAATACTTTATAGTACCGTATGCGCGTCTATTGGTTGCTAAAGTCACGTGTAAAAACAAATTCTGATTTTCATAGATTTGAATTGAAAAATATAATTTTATATTGGAAAATGTCAACTGTTTTTACTTGCAAAGTTGTTTTTTTGTCATTTGAAGATCTGAAAGCAAAATTTAAATTTAATTTGAAAGTAATTAAAAAATGTGAAGATACTAATTTTGTGCAACTATGGATTAAAGACGCTAAGACAATTAATGCTGCTAGAAAAAGCATTCCAAAGAGAGCTAGTATTATGGCTCCACAAATTAAATACTCTTTTATAAAGTACTGCTGCATTCATGGCGGACAAAAATTTAAATATAAAGGCTTTAGAAAACGTCAAACTTCGTTAGTACTTTGTTTTACTTTTTTATAAGATGGTATTATTATTCTCATACAATAACTGTTATAACTGTTTGTTCTATTTCAATCAATGAAGATCTTACATTCAAGTTACAAATAGTTATAAACTTATATGAATTAAACCCCTTATAATGCAAATAGTTATAAACTTATATGAATTAAACCCCTTGTAATGCTAATAATATATAATAATGATAATAATAGTGGTAATGTAAGCAATATATCTAAAACTGAGCTTTTAAAATTTTTATAAACAACAATGATAACAATAACAACAACAGTAATAAAAATAATATTATAAACAAAACTAATTCTAGTTTTAGTGTATAATTCAAGTTAGACAGTAAAAATGAAAAGCTGAAAGTTACAAAAAAGCAGTAATAAAAATAATAATATTAAAAACTATAAGTGGTTAAACTTGCCCAGGTTTAAACATTTTCTCTCTTTCTTATGGTTTTTTTTTTTTTTTTTTTTACTTTAAATTTAAATTTTTGTTTTAAGTCTTTCTTAGATTGTGTATGAATTATTATAGATGACTTAAGAAACTAAGGCATGTAAGATATTACTACAAAAGTTGCAATTTCGTAGACATCTTCTATCTCCACCACTGATAAAAATTTCAGTTTTTCCCAAATAGAAAGAACTTAATTCCCATAATCTTAGCTAGTGTTCATATCTTTAGAAAAGTTTTCAGGGTAATGGTATTTCCTATGTATTCTTTAGCTTCTTGTGCAATCTGATGCATGTAAGAATTGTTTTTCAAAATGTTAAAAATGAATTAATCTTAAGAATTAATAAATATTAAGAGTTAAACCTGAAAAATAGAAAAATAGTGTTCAAATAAATCCAAAATAAATATAATGCTAGATATTATAACAGTTTAGTGAGATACTCAAAAAATTATAAAGTATATTTAAATAAAAACAATTGTAAAACATTAAAACAATATACACAAAGTCATAGATTTTATAATATTTTTATTATAAAAAATATAATTTGTACTGTAACAGTTCAAAAAAAAACAACAGAAAAAAACAAAAACATTTGTTTATGTAGGTTATTAATAAAAACAGCACACTGCAGATATATTGAACTTTTAGTAACTCAAAGTGTTTTAACATTCCTGTTGAACTCCCCCTCACACTTTCTCACAAAAATCACTATGTTGATAACTCAAACCCCTTGATAACTCGAAAATTCCCTGAGTCAAACCCTTTTTTTTGTCCCTGTGGCTGATAATATCCCAATAAATTGAACTTTAGAAGAAAAATATTAACAAAATCTTATTAAAAATAGTTTTCTTTCATTACATTAAACTTTTTTGATTTCTATAATATCAATCAAAAAATATATTACTTCAAAACTGAGACATAAGGAGATTTTATATTTTATGATCTATTTTCAAAATAGATCATAAAATATAAAATCTCCTTATGTCTCAGTAACGTCTTCGTAACATTGATCAGATCGGAAAGAGCAATAGATATGAAGCATTTATAGCAGTTTATCAAAAGCAATAATAAATAAAAATAAGATAGAAATAAAGATATAAATGAAAACAAAATTTATGTTTTCATTTATATTTTTATTTCTATTTTATTTATATTTATTATTGCTTTTAATTAACTGCTATAAATGCTTTATATCTATTACTCTTTCCGATCTGATCAATGTTGCAATTCTAAGTTGCTGTTATAAAAGCATTGGAACTATTTGCTGTTGTATTACTGAAACTTATAAAGCAAACAGTTTGTTAACATGTCAATTTTTACAATTTAGAAAAGTTGCAATGAAGATTTTATTTTATTTACCATTTCAGATTGAATAAAAAAAAAACTTTTGATAACTTGAATTATTTTTACTTATCTGTAAAAGTTTGAATTGTGAAATATCCTGATAACTAGAACGCTTGCAAACTTGAACTAATTTCTTGGCTTCCCTGAAGGTTTGAGTTATCAGCAGTTTACTGGATTTATTTCATAATAAATAATTTTTTTGATTTAGAAATACATATATAATTTATTACATAGAACTTTTTATTAGCAATACAAATACTTTATTTTTGCCTATTTAATTTATGAAATAAGCATCTAATTGATACATTTTTTTTGTAGGACATATAAGAATAATTGCCCTTTCTACCTACATTTTCAGGCATTGGAGGATGGACAAACATTAATCTTGCAAGACTTAAACAATACACATAATCACGAAGTATCTGAAGTAAATTATTTTTATTTATACTTAAAATATGTTTTATAAATAGCATTATTTTACAATTTCTTATATAGACAAAAAAAAAACTTTTTTAGAATTTCATTATTTTTTTATTATTATAAAATTATAATTGTCAAAACTACTGCGGGTTATAAACATCTCTTTTTCTTTTCTACAAATGCTATCATGGTCACTGCTCAAAGGAGTTATCATCTCTAGTTCCATCAACTAAAATTCATTCTCGTTTAACTCGTCATTCAGTTAAGTCTCATTCATTTACTGTATCTGTCCCTGCATGCTCTAAAAACTTTTATTCATCTAGTTTTTTTCCCCGCACTTCAATCCTTTGAAACTCTCTCCCATCTTTATGTTTTCCTGACTCATACAACCTTTAACTTTTCAAGTCTTCTTTCAACCGTTTCCTTGCTCTATAACTCTGTTCTTTTCTTTTCCTAGTAACTCCCAACTTAATAGTGGTTGCTTGCAGCCTTTTTGGAAGTAAATGCAAATTTAAAAAAAAAAAAAAAAAAAAAACATAATTTGATAATTATATATATATTTAATGGGTAAACAGATTCTATCTGTTGACCAGCCTTGCACCCCTTCTCAATTTATTAGGCTGGCGCAGATGTATTTTTAATACATTGTTGCCAGTTTAGGATGTTAAACACTGGATCTTCTTGATTCGATGCATGGGTTTTGCTTGTGTCTCTGTTTTTATGACTATTCAACTCATTCTATTATCTCTAAATGAGGGTGCAGCTCTAAAACTCAGTTTTATGGTTCTGAGGCCGGCTGGTAGTCAAGTTTCCCAAACTATGTGGTAGCTCTCAGAGAGGCTGATTCCATCAACAGCTAAAAAATATTAGAGTAGTAACAGTGCCATGTTGCGCATGAATGGTGTTCCTGTTTGCACTTTTGGTGTCCATTGTCTTTTTTACAGCTTAGGATTTATTAGTGGAAATGAGGTACTAAGTACTATCTATGTTTCAAATCAAGTTCTTTATCAAATTTAAAAATGAACAAAGTAACAAAAACTATAAAGCACAAAAAGCCACAGTCATCATCAATTTCGCTAAACCTATCATTAACCAATATTGGTGGTCTTCTAAGTAACTTTTCTTCTGTTGAGTTTTATCTCTTGCAAAGTTCACCAGACCTATTTGCTCTTTGTGAGACTAATTTGAGTTCAGCTGTCTCATCTTGTGATCTTAGTGTTGATGGTTATCTTCCTTTCATTTGTAAAGACTCCAATAGTCACATGCTTGGCCTAGGCATTTACATTTGTAAGAATTCACCCATTTGTCGGGAAACTAGGTTTGAATCCACTGACTACTCTTTTATGTGCTTTCATTTAGCACCACTTCACTCTATCCCATTTCTCTTTGTTCTATATCGCTTTCCCTCATCTCAAGACTGCACTCTTCTTGTTGTTATTTTTGATCATATTGACCAAACCCTCTCTCTTTATCCAACAGCCAATATTGTTTTTGTTGGTGACTTCAATGTTCATCACACTGAATAGCTTGGCTCTAGTGTCAGTGACTCTGCAGGCATTAAGGCCCACAACTTTTGCCTTTCTTAATCCCTAATTCAAATAGTCAACTTTCCAACTCGCTTTCCAGACAACCCAAACTGTTAACCTTCTCTACTCGACTTATGTCTTGTTTCTAATCCTAGTCAGTGCTCAGTTTCACCACACTCACCCTTAGGTGCCTCCTATCATGGTTTGGTCTCTCTAAAACTATTATCTCATTCTTCTTTATCATCAGAATCTCCCTATCATTGTCCATCTTACAACTACCTGAAAGCTGACTGGGACTCTTTCTGTGATTTTCTTCATGATGGCCCCTGGGTAGAAATCTTTGGTCTTCCTGTTGACAAATGTGGTTCTTACATAACTTTGTGGATTCTGGCTGCCATGGAATCCTTCATTCCCTCTCAAATTCCAGGTCAAGCCTCACTCTTCTCCATGGTTTTCCTCACATTGTGCTGCTGCAATTGTCAATGGAAACCATTACTTCCATATCTATTAGCAAAACAATTTTCCAGAAAACAGACGTCTGTTTATTACTACTAGGAACCATTGTAGAAAGGTTTTATCTCATGCCAAAGCCTGCTATTCTCAGATCATAAAATCTCGTATTTTATCACAAAAATTAGGCTCTCGTGACTTCTGGAGAATCTTTATTAGTATCAATAATAAGAGCGAGTCTGTAATTCCACCTCTTTTGTACGTTTCAGACTTTGTCACCTCACCTAAAGACAAAGCTGAATTGTTTGCCAAGAATTCCACTAGTTGCGTTCTACCTGATATGTTGTCAATTAGGTTGATCCACTGCTCGACATCGGTATCACCACAGCTTCTGTATCTAAAGTGATTTCCTGCTTAGACTCTTCTACAGCTAGCGGCCCGGACAAAATACCTGTTATAGTCTTGCAAAAGTGTTCTCCGGAGCTGTCGTCTATCCTTTCAAAACTATTTAACAAGTGCTTATTAGAGTCTTTTTTTCTAGCCTGCTGGAAAGCAGCATCTGTTATCCCTATTTTCAAAAATTCTGGAAAGCAATCTGATTTATCTAACTACCGTCCCATTAGTCTTCTTCTTATCCTAAGCAAGGTTTTTGAATCTTTAATTAACAAACACTTAATCTCTCTAATTCAGACCTTCCTATATTTATGAACAGTAATGTACTCCATGAGTCTTCTACCCTTAATCTTCTAGGAATAACTCTTACTTCTGATTTTTCTTGGAAACCTTATATCAATTCCGTTGCAAAATTAGCATCTGCTAAAAGTCGTTTCTCTTTATCGAGTTTGTCACTTTCTTACTCTGGATTCTATTCTCTATCTTTATAAATCTCAAATCCAGCCTTGTATGGATTACTGTTGCCATATCTGGGGTGGATATCTTCTAATGATGCCCTTTCTCTTTTAGACAAGGTGCAAAAACGCATTGTAAACATAGTTGGACCTGCTTTTGCAGCCAACCTTCAACCTCTGACACATCGTCGTAATGTTGCTTCTTTTTCTCTTTTCTACAAATAGTATAATGGTCACTCCTCTAAAGAGCTAGCGACTCTTGTACCATCTACTAAAATTCATTCTTGTGTTACTCGTCATTCAATTAAGTCTCATCTTTTTTATGTTACTGTTCCTAAATGCTCCAAAAACTCCTATTCGTCTAGTTTTTTTCCTCAAACATCAGTTTTTTGGAATTCGTTTCCTTTATCTTGCTTTCCTGGTTCATATAATTTTCAATCTTTTAAGTTGTCTGTCAATCGTTATCTTGCTCTACAATCCTCATCTTTTCTCTTCCAGTATCTTCCAACACTAATTAGTGGTTGCATGCAGCCTTGTTGAAAGCGAAGACGTTAATTATATATATATATATATATATATATATATATATATATATATATATATATATATATATATATATATATATATATATATATATATTTATATATATATATATATATATATATATATATATATATATATATATATATATATATATATATATTTATATATATATATATGTATATATATATATATATACATATATATGTATTATTTGAAAACCATAATCTTGAAATTTTAAACAACTTACTTCAAAATGTATTTTATTTAGTGTGCATCTGCTGCTATGAAGAGCTCTAAATTGTTTTTAAATAAATTCTTTTTAATTCATAATCAAATTAAAAAATCTTATTAAAAATTAAATTGAAAATTCGTTATTGGAAGTTTTTATGAAGTTTTTGATTCAAATTGATTTGTGGGTGTGATTGAATTATAGATTGTGGCTATACAAGCTTATATATTTTTCGGTTTTTGGTAACTAAGTATGATGTTTTTGAATTTTTGTTATTTTATAAATAAATTCTGTGAATTTCTGATATCTTGACCCCTGGATATTTGAACTTTCAGTAACTGGTAGTACTTTTGAGTTCCCCTCGAACCCTCACTAGCAATCATAAAAACTGTAAATAGCTTGTTAGAACTTATTATTATAGTTTAATAGCCTTTACAAATTCCAAAATATGTCATAAGGGTAATTCCATGTCAATTTAGCCAGAAAATTTCAAAAATGTCACTATACATCTCAGATTTTGCTAATTTTTATACAGTTGAGAGTACTTAGTAAAACAAAAAATCCTTGAAAATTTTAGCTTCTAGCTCCAAGAGGATCATGAAATATGATCATTTTACTTTTAACTGATCTTGGCCAGGCCCCTCTTGTCCCCTCAGAAGTGTGACCTTTGTTTAAAGGTTCCAAGTCACATAGCTTTAAAAATATTTGATCTTTTAACTTAAAAATTTGTACCTGGCTATTTTCAGGGTCGAAGAATCCAATGAAATAATCAGAAATGTAAAAAATTATTTTTAAGTACTTGTAATTATCAATTTAAATAAATTTAGGCAATTTTTTATATACCTGATTTTGATGTTCAAGAAAGCCATGTGGCCTTGATGATATAAAAAAAAAAAAATTGTACACATTATTCTATGTTTAATGATCTTTCAGAAAACATAAAAATTTTGATCTGCAAGTAGATGGATTTCCATATATGGTTAACGGGGCACAGGCCCCACTATTTTGTTGCAGAATCTTGCCATACATTTTTCACAACCTTTCAGACTAGCTGGAACGATGAAAATTTTCGTATTTATGTAGTGTCAATAAATGTGCATTTTAAAGGGCCTAAGACACTAGGGGAGGGGGCTGGGGGGATGTGCCCCACTTTTTTTGACCGGAATCTTGAGATGGATTTTTCAGTATCTTCCAGACTAGTTGGTGCTTTGAAACTTTCAGCATTTGTGTAGTCCTGATGAACATGCATTAAAATAGTTTCAGGTCAGATGACCAGAAGGTCCATGGGGCTGGGACACTGGGGACCATGCCCCGCTTATTTTTAAAAAAAAAAATTTTTTTTTGTCTTAAATTTAAGATAACTTTGAAAATATTGTATTTAAATATTTTATTGCTTTATGCTTGTTCCGTT